CTCTAATGGTTGTTCCCTGCTTATCTCTCCTCGCGCGACGCGGTCGTGCGAGGAGAGATAAGCATTCCATCTCTGAAAAGTTCAGGGATTTCGTTTTTCATGTCGAAAGAAAAATTTAATTTGAAATATGCATTAAATTGCTCTTTCGATTGTTGGACGACGTGTTGAGTGTTTCACATTTAGCCGAGCTTTCGAATGCTTATCATAAACTTCATTTTGCAATGACGTTCGATTCTCAGCAACGTCTTTAACTTGATTAATAATCTATATCCATCAAATTGCTACTATGTGGAGAGAGCTGTGGCACAATATCTTCATGCATGCGATGGCTGACGCGTGTTATGCGTGTTTTAGACCACAGCCCCTTTCTCCATAACCGAAACTGCAGGATTACCAATTGCTGGCATTAACTTCGTATGTTATTTGAGAAAAAATGTTTACTTTCAGGTGATTAAATGAAATAAAATCCTATAACCGATTGTAATGAACGCCGAAGCCGTACAGAAAGAAGCGTATGCTTCGGCTCTGGTGCATGTTGCACAGCTGCTACAACATTCAGGACAGCTGGAGAAGCTGGATTCTCTAAAGAAAAGAGCTGATCGAAAAAAGGTTTAATTCTTTTTGCGACTGATTTAAAAAACACAGAGAGGAACGCTTCTTTAACAGTGACATAAAATGATCGTTAATTTCAGGCTGCCGTCGAAGCAATGTTACGCACTGGTGTGCAGTCACAGTTGGAGGGTATTCGTACGGCAATCGGACATCTCGCATCAACTGTTGAGGACATTAAATCCGTTGAAACTAGGTGCGATGGTTGAAACTCAAGAAAAGTTTTTCCCGATTTCATTTTTGTTTTTTTTTTCGCTGTCGGTCAGAAAAACGCAGCACTGAAAATTTGCAGCGTAACTGTTGGCCTCGCTAGTCGTCCTTAGCTATCTACACCGGTGTCACTATGTTGAATCCATCGTTATTGTTCAACAAAAGTTCTCAGATCCACGAGTCTGATCGAAATGTTCTTAGTTTACAAGAGATACACGATACACTGCAACGATTTCCGGAGTTGAAGAAGAAAATGGGAAAACTGCGTGAAGCAAACACCAGACACAGCCAATATGCGACGGCGATGGAACATCTGAAACATATTTATTCGATAAACGAGACGATTGAGCATACAAATGACTATCTGGTGGATGGAAAGCTTTTGTTAGCGCATAAAAAGTTGGTTATACGATTGTTTCCTTCAGTTTTTCTTTGCTGTTGTTATTTTTTTTATTTCTTTCGTTTCGTAAAATTAAGGACGATGAGATACTTTACAAGTGTTGGGAAATTGTTTGTGTTTTCAGTATTGAAATTTGATAAATAATTATTCTTTTGTTTCGTTTTAGTATCATGGAGCTGGAGCATGCACGTGATGATTTAATGTTTGAAGTACACAAGTTGCAGCAAGGTAATGCCGAATACGAAAAGAATGTATGCAGTTATTTTATTTTTCTTGAACACTATTCCATTCTTTTTCCTGTATTTCTGACAGACATTTCACTTAATTTTTTCGTAGTTTGCATTAATAGGTACGCCATTATATTCGTAATAATTTAAGCTTACATTTACTTGAGTGTCTTCAGTAACAAAATGACAATGACAATGACCGATGAACATTTTTAAATCAAGTTTGAATTGTCGCTAGTTCACATCAGTAGTTTGGATTTGCAAGAATCGAAAATTTTGCTGCATTCAGTTGTTGAGCTCAGCGGTCAAATTACACCTCACAATTTGTCGACTAAAATTTCAGCATGATGAATTCGGTTATCTTCTTCTTCTGTTTGAAGACGATGTAAGTAATAGTGCTAATTATAATGCAGTAAATAGCTTATCATATCACATCTTATCCTCTTTTTATGCTCCCAATTATATCCTTTCATATCGTTTGGCTGCTAAACTTTTATACTTTTTCCTTCGGTTTCTGACGTATGTGTTGGAAGTGAGAGCATTGTCGGGTCCATCATCCATCTTTTAATATTTTTTGTCATATTGTATTCGTCGTTGCCATCACAACGTTATCTTTATTCAATCTTGTATCCTTGTAAAATATGAATTCCTATCGCGAATCACTTTAATTCCTTAATATCGCATGCTGATGACTCGTTTTTTGAAATTATGCATCACCCGGTTCACTTTTACCGATGGATAATGCCATAGTACGATTGAATTTCAATTTTTTATTTGTTCAGTCGTTTCCTTCTATTGTTTATTACATTTTACTTTAGTATTTAGTTCTTTTTCAATTGTTTTTTTTTGTGGTTTCGAATACACGATATTTGATTTTTGGTGATTTTGTTGATCCATTCTAAAAATGACAATAAAGCTTATTTTATTAAAAAGGAAAAGTTCGGGATGTTCTTCATTTGAGGTCCGTTTTATTTCATCATAAAAAGACAAGTGGATACGTCTAATGGTATTGATGACAGTTCATTCGTTGCAGTTGAATAATGTTTCTTTTAGCTTCTGAAGACATACTTCTCTGAGGTTGAAAAGTTGGTGCATGAACTCGAAAAACAAATTTTTTATATTTGCGCACGATGTCTAGAGGCAGTTCGTGGACTTGATCAAGGACCGCAACAGCTAGTCACTGCACTTCGCATTATTGAACGAGAAGAAAGGTGTGTTGGTGGTATATGTCTCATTTATTTATCCGAATGAATACATTATGAAATCATGCCCATTTCTTCATTCGACGAGTTCTGCAGTACATGCCTATTGTATGTTTGTATGAAGTGCTAGAGAAAGTGATAAAATTACATTCGAATTAAAGGATTGATAAATATTATATGGATCGCATAACGACCACGAATAATTTTATGCCACCCGGAAGGCCACGAGGCTGGCGTAAAAGGTGCTTAGAAGTTATCGCTGAAACGGTTCGACAACGAATTGAAGGGAACCAATTGGAGGATCGTTCCCTCAATAAGCAATGGTTGGCCAGGTATGTGAAATGATCGCAGTGGTTTTATTGTTATCAGTGTTAGTATTTATGGTTGTTAGCAGTATCCAGGTTGTTATTTTTATTGTTATTTGTATCGTTATTATAACTATGCAGGTATTTGGAAGTGTGCCGTTTGGTGTTTGTTGATGATTTGCTTGTGGCAAGAAGCGGAGCTGTTCCATGTTTCCCTCCACATTACAATATTTATGAGCGATTTGTCGGAATGTATCATAATTGTATTTCATCAAGAGTATTGCTTTTAACTATTTTCATTTTTTGAAATTTATAATCGTTTTTATTCTACTCGCTGTATATACAATAGTTGTGATTTTTATGCGCTTTTTTGTTTATCGGTTGTTTTCTTTGGTGGAGATTCCTAGTTACTGTCATCCAAGCGCAGCGATAAATTCCAGTCAATTTTGGTGAAGTTTTAAAAAAGAATTTGCTGAGAGTTTGACTATCATTCTTCAAAATGAAAATTCATAGTTTCTATAAGTTTGTTTCCTTCATTCGTTTCACTCATCTTACAGTTACGAGAAATTGCCTCTGAGAAACTGGAGAAAAATGAACTGGTGCAAATATTGAGTTGGATCAATGCATATGGGTTAGTTGGACAGTCAAAAATGCTTTTTTGAAAAAATCATTTTCGTTTTTTGAGAAGAATTGTTTGGTTTTCGAAATTTTTGATGATTCATTTTTCGAATGGAAGAGCATGGAAAAAAATTAATCGGTTGGTTTAAGAGGTGATCACATGTTGGGAACTCCGAAGTTGCAAATTAATGCGGCTGCAATGCTAGCAGATCATCCACTTCTACCAAGGTCTACTGTTACACAGCTGTGCGATCAGTAAGTTATTATTGTTATTGATCATTACTGTCGGTTTCGTTTATGTGATTACTGCTGTAATAATTTTATGAACAATTTTTCTAGTTTGAAACAGCAATATTTTGCTACTTCAACAAATCATTTCGTTTTAAGATTCGTCGAGGTGACAAAAGGTGATATGCACGAATGGCTTGAGAAGACCCTGATGCAAGAGAAAGATGTCAGTATGCGTTTATTATCCTAAACATCCTCAGTGCTTAACATGACGACAGTTATAAATTAATAGCAAAATTTTGTTGATATATAATTTATTTATTTATAGGATTGGTACAAACATGTTCGGCCGGAGGAAGAGAGTCAAGGCTATTTCTATACCCAATTACCAAGTATACTGTTCGGTATGATTGAGGATACGGTACGTTCTGATGTTACTGTATCATTCATGTTTCGCATTACTATTATTACGATTACTATTGTTGTTGTTGCGTACATTTTCAGCTCGTTATTTTAATTCTGTATGTGGTTTTGCGCGTTTATTATTTTATTTTTTTTAAATTCATGCTGCATCTTTATCTTTTTTTTCACGTTTACCTCAAGTGTAACGTTTACATTTTTTGCGGTCTCATCTTGTATCCCTTCGGGTATATTTCAAATATTGCAGTAAATTTACTGAATAGAACAGCATATTACAATAAAATATGTTTGACAGTTGATGACTATAGGTATCATTGGCGAAAGAAATCTCACAAGAAGTTATACCGAGTGTTGTGAATGTGAGTATCGACGAATTTTTGAATTTTGCGAATCGTTATCGAGGTTAGTTGATTATTGCGTTCGTCGATGTCAAAAAATGTTCTCTTCAACTGAATTGGTTGACGATGGATGCGTGAGTGAAAACTTATAAGCTTGAGGCGGAACCGTTTAATGTCAGAAGTGTGCGACATTGATGCGTTTTTTGCTTGCAGATGCTTCCATGGCGTTCAAAGCGAAACATTTTGAAGATAGAAGCTATTTCGAAGAATTCACTTCAACGATGGTATGAAATTTGTAAATAATGATGATAGTTGAATGATGATAGTCACCAAATTGATTAAGAAAGTTGTCAGTTCAGATAGCAGTCGCAAATAACATGGATATTTGTATGGATTCTACGGATAAATTGAAGAAGCACATTCGTTTGACGATGGAAACGGATGTGCTGAGTGATGTTCCAAAAGCAGATGAAACAACGGCGCAAAATGGCACTACCACTGGAAATAGTGGTACTAATAATGCCAGTATTCCAACTGTTTATTCACCACGGGGAAGTAGTATTATGATGGGTGTGTCACGTAATACGTTACTTGAAAAAATTGATCATTTGAAGAAACGTTGGAATCTTGGATTACACGCAGCGTTGGTTATATTTATGTGTTTGTTTTCAACTTTGAGTTTGTTTGAAATTTCGCATCGTGGTTTGTGTCGACAGAAAATGCGAGAGAGGAAAAATCACTGGAATCTGACTAAAATAATGAGAATAATTTCAGTTTAAATGCTATGGTGGAAGAAGTTTTTGAAGATATTTCTCCACACTTGGCCGAAATTTTGACCAAGAACTGGTTCGTTTATTTGTGACATTCCGTTTTGTGAGGAAGCAACTTTGTCTAAGCGTGATGTTTGCTTTACTCTTGATAAAATTTGTTTGAAAGCAATACATATTGCAGAGAAAATGGAATATGAGCGAATTTTTTGGATATGATACTGAGATTAAAAATTTTAATTTCTTTTGAGGTTACTTGGGAGTTCAGCGGTAGAAACGATTTGTATGACATTAATGGATTATGATGGTGATCATAAACATTTAAGACCACATATAAGATGTGCGTTGTTGATGGAAATGCAATATAGAGTGATTGGAGAGTATTTGATTGCTATTGATAATAGGTCGGTTGTTTATTATGTCATGCAATTTATCTGTTTTGTTTCCTATTTAGCTGTTTGTTTATTCACTGTATCATCGTTTATAGAAAACAAATTTTCTTTTTGCACTCTCAGTCTAGTGTTGCGAATACATTCTTAAGGCGCATCTCATTGGCTAACTATGAAGATCGTGCTAGAGCAGCAATGCTATTGGAAAATGACGCGAAACGGATTCAGGAAACATTTCAAACGTTACATAATGATATTGAACTACCGGTATGTATGCATATTTGCTTATATATTAAGCATTTAGTCATAGTTGTTATTGTTATATTATTTTTTATTGAAAAGAGTCATGAGATTATTGAATATTTTCTTTCCTTTTCACAGTTAGTCGAAATGAGTCCTTTGCTGGCGGATATGTCAGAGGTGATAAGTTTACGTGACAAGAGTTTATTGGCACTTGAAACAACTTCGTTCGTACGGAAATATCCGGACATCCATATTGAGCTGCTCAGTGCTCTAATACAAATGCGTGAAGACATGGGCCGTGCTGAAGCAAGGTTCTTTCATTCTTATATAAATATATTCAAGCTTCATTTTATCAAAAGTTATTCTTCTCTAAGTGTTTTAATAATCTCTATCGAAGTGAACGATTGTTTTCTCTTTTTTTGTTGTTCCTGTGCATACTTCTTACGTCTCATCATTAATCAATAAAGAAGTGCTACGAGAAATCGCCTTGAATAATACTGGTGAATAATTGGCACTAAAAAAGGTTTTTTATTGTTTGTTATTCGGTTGTAGGTCGATGGCTGAAGAAACGTTGAACCATAGTAAGTTTCATCCGAAAGGAGATGCAGTCTTCTCGAAACTATTCCAAATTTGTAAAGCAGATCCAAAGCGAGCGTTTGCCTTAGAAGAAACTATGCAAAACATGTTTGCTACGTTCACTGCGAAAAGTGAGTGTCAATTAACGTTTTTTTGTCTTGAGAAGTTTCGATCAGAGCATGTTGCGTTGTCAAATTTATTCCATTTTTTCATTTTCAGCCACTCGTTAATCGTCCAATCTAATTTCGCAAAACTTCATTCGTTGTTCTGTTAAAGGGTATTTGGTATATAATGAATGGGATGTGGCGAAAACGACATGAAACCAAAAATAACGATTATTTTGATTTGTTCATTTCTTTGTATGATGAAATTTTAGGTATTATATAAATAAGTGCGTTTGTAAACTTTGAATAAAATTCAATTTACAAATGAGTTGAACGTGTCAAATTTTACATTGCAACTAAACATCTTGCGAAAGTTTTTTTTTTCCTTTTTCCATTTAAAATTTATCGAGATCCAACCGCAACAATAGTTTTTCATCGAGTGAAACTCTTCAGTTGTGTGTGATTTATTTAACATTTGTTTTGCTGAATCGATCAATGAAATGACTACAGTCGGAGAATTTGCAGATTTTCATTTTTCCTCATTCATCTCATGTACTTTTTACCTTATTGTTGAGCAGATCTGCTCGAATTTCTTCGTGTTCGCTTTAAATTTTGAATTCAAGTTGTTGATGTTGTTGTTAATGTTATTGTAATTGTGGCAGTTGTCCTTGTTCAAATAGTTAGGCAGATCCTCGTATTAAGTTGTTGAACGTTTGCTGCAAATGGTGCAGTCCAGTCCATTAAACAATCAATCATCAACTTCGATGATTTTGATTGACTCCAAGTGAAACTAGTATGAGCATTTGTTTATTTTCATTTATAAAGTGTTGTGATATGATATCATTATTATGTGACATTTATAAAATTCTACTGAGCGTTGTTGTGATATGGGATTTTGAGCTGAAGATCGTTATTGGTCTATCCGTTCATTGGTAGTTGATGAAACGATTTGTGAACGTTTGTTAACGATATTTCATGAATTGCTGTTATTGTAAATTGAAGTGTATATATTTGAGTTTGTTCTTGTTTTTGTTAGTTATTCATAAACAGGTATGTACGCAAATTTGACGGATAGATGAATTTTATTCCCATATGTTGGATGCAGTCAATTTATCGAAATTGACTGCGAATTTCTGTGTTTTCAATCAATTCTGTGTGCGTTTTTGGTTCAATCTTAGTTGATCAAATAGTACTTATTTTGCATTTATTGTCATTTAGATCCTTATCGTCATCATTGTTGTCATTCACTTGGATTACACACATATTTTGCTATTATTTACCTTGTTTTGGTTATATTTGCAGATGATTTGTTTGTTGTTGTTATTGTTGTTATTTTATTTACACTACTACGTAGTGTGCTTCAATTTGTATTTACTTTTCTAGCTGAACTTCATTCTGCAGTGCTTTGCTGCTGCTGGCGTTGTTGTTACTACTTGTTTTGTTGCTATTTCATTTACGTAGAGTTAGTTACACAAATTGCGAAAACCAATGTTGTTATGAAAAGTTTCGTTTTTTGAGCGATTTAGTGAATGAATGAGTACTTACAAGATGAGATAGATACAATACTCGTTCATACGTTCTTCATTTAACTTATCTGATTTAATTCCGTATGTTTATGCTATTTGCATGGGTAAGTGGATAACCATTTTAAATTCACAATAGACAGTCGTTTGCGCATGCATTGATTCACCAGTTGCTATTGCTGTTGTTATTGTTGGTGCTAGAATTTCATTTTCATTGTCCACAATATAGTTTGATTAGTGGTTGTATTGCAATTATATCCATCCATTCATGCATCCATTCGTTCATTTCATCGTTTGTATGTGTTTCGGTTTTTGTTTATATTAGTAGTTATTGGAGTATACACATTTAACATGAAATGTCATCGTGGTGGCAGCAATGTGGCGACCACAATACTAACAATAGTAATAATGGTGGCCAGCAGCATGTACTTTTTTGCATTTGCTTCATTCATTCATTCATTTGATCGTTTGCAAGTATTTTTATGTCGTGAATTGCGTCTTTCATTTATTCATTCAGCAGTTTGTGCTGTCTTCAACGAATCTAGTCGAAGAGTATGCGGTTGCAGCAGATAAATATTGCTAATATTCTATGCATTCACGTTGGATTTGATTTGGTTTGAGTGAAACGAACAAACAAATCGTTTTGAAAAATGAAGCAAGAAATTGAAAATGGACGTTTTGTAAAGCAGATGGATGAAAAGGAGATTTTTTTGCAGGCTGATTTTATTTTTATTCTCATTTTCATTATTATCATTGATATTATTTCAGTTCTCATCATAGCTATAATTGCAATTTAGTTTAGACTTTTTTTCATCGGAAATAAAACGTTCCATTCAACAAAATAATTGTTGACTTTTCGAGTATTCATTTAATCTGCGTATCAATTGAGTCCAGTCGGTTTGTTTTCTTTCGCCTTAACGAAGTGTGAGTGTGCTGTTTTTGTGTCTGAGAATTTGTATTTGAATTTGACGAATATCATCTGAGTGAAAAGCGTTGTTATTTTAAATGTACATTTTACTAAATACCGGTCAACATTCACGTCAACTGTCCGTTCATTCATTCATCCAAACATTCTGCAATCGTTCTGGCAAGTGGCGTCATCAAGATGGGGAACGCGACCTCCTCGAAGGTGGAAGAGAAGGCTTAGAGGGAGGAGGAAAGAAGAAGTAGAAGCAAGGAAACGGAGAAAGAAAAAGAAATAACCATAGAAAAATCCACACGAAGTTCAGTTATTTTTATAGACAAGACTATTTTCCGTATCCTCTCTCCTCCTCTTCTTGGAAATAATCCTGACCACTGGTTGCGACTGTATACATTTCATGTTACTTCATTATGCCATCTCATTTTTTGATCATTATTTGCTTCGTCTAATTTAACTGAATTTTTGAAAGTGATTTGTTATTAATGGTATTAGTGGTAGTATTGTTATTATAATGGTATTACTCTGATATTATCTTCACGTTACTATCATCATATTTTATCATTTAATTCATTGATTCCTAATGCAACATCAGATGAATGATTATAAACCAACCAACCTACAGCTTCATATGTATGGAGGATGTTTGCAGGATTGACTATCTGTGCATCCATCTCATTTATCCTTTCATTTACTCTTTTATAATCACATCTTTCTAACATGCTTCTCGAGCGCAACGGTCTATCCGACCCACCAACAGCAGCGAAGCTAATTTAAGTAATAATTATTCGAGTGCGAATTTATTTGTAATCACCGAGTTATAACCTTTCGATGAAAAATTCCAAATGAAAATTCTTCTATTTAAAGCGATCAAAACAGAAATCTTATTGGTAGCAAAACTGTTTCGAAGCAATAACAGTGACACTTCAGGTATTCGACTTCAGTTAATAGGCGATTCTATCACAGTAAATGCGTGAGTATAATAAAATCTTGGCGATTCACAATACCATTTGTGGCTCCCAGCACTGCCAAAAGTGCTACACCCGTGTTTCATTATTTTAAAACCACTTCAATATGTGCAATTTTTCATAATGAACGTTCATGTAAGTCTCAACACGATAACCGTTTTGCTCATTCCTCAACGTTTACGTTACGGGCGTCGTCTGCGTTAAGTGAAAAAATATTGTCTTGACAAGATAAACTAAAGTAAAACAAAATGGTCATTATTCTGATGAAGCTAAAATTGAAAACGAAAGTGATTACGCACTATGAAGGTGAGAAAATTTTGTCAGAATATCTCAGTTGGTCCTAATTAGTCACATTACACTGTTTTTGATATTATCAAAGATATTGATGAAGCTGTGAGACAGTGTAACTCTATAGAAACAACCCTATTAACTAATCATGAAAAGGGCTTATCCATGAAATGTTGAAGTTTTTAACGAAGATACACCTCACGAAAACCTACCTCTCAGTTTCTGATAGTTTAGATAAAAGCTCTAAGGCTTTTTCAGACTGAAGCTTCTTCGGGACTTTTGCAGGTTTATTAAGACTCTTTTTCATATAACATTCGAATACAACTGAAAACATCAAATGTTTAAATGATGTCATTTATGAGCAATTCTATGCTTTTTATGCTCGAGCGTGAATGTTTTGTGGTAGTTCGCAAAAGTCGTCTAATTTATGAACGAATCTGACTTACGACCAAACACAATTGTCGTCGTCAGTCGACGATTTGTACACGATTCCATCGTTTGGATAGTTGCTCATCGTCATCATCCACGTTTCGCAGTCCAATCATCAGTTATTCTCCGACAGTGTGTACATATAAGCATATTCATGATAGAACAACAAATTGATCACAATATAATCAATCGAATACCATCAAATTCAGTAGTGTTAAGAATGAGGAGTTATTATGAAGCATTATTATTCTGTTGAGTTGTTTCCGTACACATGTGTGTATCTGTGCTTTTGTTTTTCACTGCAAATCAATGATTCACACTCGCCATTCTTCCATGGATTTCACTACTGTTTCGACTATTTGGCGAATACGTTACTCATTAAAATCACTTTTGTTACAGTTCATTTTTTGCTTGACGGTATTGTAGGCTTGTAAAAGTGTACTTATTACAAGAATTTGACAATATATAGGACTGTTTCAGTTGAGAGTTTTCATGTAAGAAAAGAAATTTGTTTTAGCATCCAGTTCAACAGTTGTTTTCGTTATACATGCAATCGAAAATATTTATAACAATGATGATGAACAATTGTATTTGCTGAAACAATCCATATGGATGGATTATTCCATACAAACTCTCATCTAGAACACTTTTATTTGTGCATCGAAAGAAAATTTTGCAGCAGTGATAGAATTTTCGTAGATACGTTATATCAGTGTTTTTGAGTGAGCAAGCATTCATCCGTCTATCTCTCTATTCATCTGAATGTTGTGTGGATGCTTGTTGCTGACTATAATTGAAAGTGTTGCTTCATCTATACCGAGCAGAAAACAATTTATATCTATTCATTGGATTGTCATCATTCCATGATGACAGCAAAGTGAACGAACAAAACGAATTCAAGGAAGTGTGATGCATATACGAGTGTATGCTTGCAAATGCGATTTTGTTGCTCTTTCTGCTGCTGCTGCCACTACTACTACTATAACAGTTACTAGCATTTGCATGTTTTTGAAACGTGCATGAACTTTATGCACTCGCCAAGATACTCGCGAATAATAGAAAGACGACTATGAAGATGATGATGATGCCAGATGTCCATTTATCCGTCCGTGCATCCGTTCAGCATTTGTAGTTTTTAACTCACGATAAGCGCACAACAGTAGTTATTTATGCACGTCACATCCGCACATCAT